GTTGAACCAGTCAATGCGTCTCAGACCAGTGGAGGCATATTGTATGATTTTGGTTCAGACGATAGAGACATAACCACACATCCGCGTAACAATCAGTCTGCGATACCGAGTGCACTCAAATTCGCTCAGCGCTGCTAAAATACAATCCGTCGTGGTGGTTAGCGTCTCCTGGTCTGGACTAGTGGGTGAACTCTGCCCCACTTCTGATCAAATTAAACGTTATACTCTTTCTCAAAAAACGGTTGTATAAGTCAATAAGTCTTGCTTCAGGTAGTTCCCCTGTCACAGTACCGGAGACTTGCCGTGGTGGTCAACGTTCCTGACTCAAACTTAACGTTATACTTTTTCTCAGGAAACAGTGTTATGAATCTTGAAATTTGACTTCAGGTGGTACCTCTAACGTAGTACCTTGAGCCCGTCATGGCGGTCAGCACCGCCTCTTCTCGTCCGAGCTATTGGATGAAGCCTATCCCACTTCTAATTTCAATTTAACATCATACTCTTTCTCAGAAAGCAGTTTTAGGAATTTGTAAACCTGGCGTCAGGTGGTACCCCTAACGCAGTACCAGAGACCCATCGTGGTGGTCAGCACCGTTTCCCCTCGATTAAACAGCTCATCTACAGCTTGTCCGAATGTATCTGCTCCGCCGTGAATTTGCGGCAGAAATCAGCAAAAACCACAAATTGATCTGGAGTGACGTCGCCAGGCAAAGACATCAATTCGCGATTCATTCTCAAACAGTTATATTGAGGATGGATACAATCTAAAAGATAACACTTGGGATACAAGGTACATTGACGCGCAAGGTGTTACCTCTTACACAACTGCCAACCTCACCTTCTGGGTAGTGCACCCCGACAAGGAGTACTGGTATAAGTATTCAGAGTTGCTGTGAGCTTGCTCTGCCGACGTGAGGTTGCGACGCAAGATCGACTGGATGACGCATTAAAAAGCCATGAAAAATTCATGTAGCAAGGAAGCAGAATGATCAGAGCCATGCTTCCAGGTGACTAAAGTATTGACGTGACAAGCTAACGCTTCCTTGAAGAACGCCACTATGCTGATACTGGTAAACGATACAGAGGAAAGACGATGAAGTGCTAGCGCATTAGCAGTTAGACTCATTGAACTGACAGAAACTCTTAAAAATGAGGGAGAGCAGATCAGATACGTCGTCAAGTCAGACAGCAGCGTTTTCTAAGACGTAGATTTTGACGACCTCCATATGCAGAGCAAAAAGATAGTTATAGCTATCAAGGATTTTTTTTATACTCCAACTACCACGAAGGCCTAAGGCCTAACACCCATGGGGTACCGCGGGGTTATAGGGGGGTACAGGGGAAACGGGGAACGCCACACGGACTCTGGCGAGAGAACACGTGTGCATGCAACATGCACACATTCTGGCTCCGCCTACGAGAACCGCCGGGTGGTACCGCCACGTTCGACAGTCAGAGACCGTCTACCACATACGGACAATCACAACATCCATAGCCAAGAGAAAAATTTCTCTTGGGACGGGATTCGAACCCGCATAGTGCACGACGACTGATCAGGAGACCGAAGAGTCTACTACTGCGGCCACCGCAGGATGCTGAAAACAACGACCAGGGCCAGCTCTATCAAACTATAGAGGGAGCTCTAGCAGTAGTTCAAAGGCTGATGAACTCTTGATCGACCCGCTTGGATCAAAAACCCTAAACTGTTGCGACGATATGCAGAGTACCTCGGAAGAAGTAAATGCAACCATATTGAGATTTATACGGGGAGGCAGATGATGTCAAGATACGCTGAAACTGTGGTGGAAAAGTGGGAAAGCCATAAGCCATAATTAAAACAGATCAGGGTGAACACTCCTACGCTAATACGCTTAGGAGAGAAAACATAAATTTACAAGAAATAGATGCATCGGTGCTTAATGTGAGACCGACGAAAAATGTGAAACTGAGCTAAAAGTGGCAGAAAAAAAGGGAAGGCGCTGCTCAAAAGCGTTTAGCGAAAGGCGAAGGTATTTTAGGCACCAAAAATGTGGTCTGGGCACCAGAAAGGAATGTCGTAACAATCGTACGTGACCCTGAAAAAACCATAAATAAGGAAGAGGTCCGTCAAGCTGTGGAAAAGGATCTGCAGCTAGAATATGTTGCCTAAGGCAGAAATGCCTCAAATGTGGAGACGACAAGCACGTTGAAAAAGACTGCACCAATGAAGTGAAGTGCTACGTGTGCGGCTAGAAGGGATAGCGCGCAGACAGTATAGCTTGCACCAACTACCGGGAGTTAGTGAAACAGCATAACAATTGACGCTTACTCAGAGAATGAATTGGAAACTCTTATGGATCACAGTATACAGAAGTACTTAGTGGGGGCAGATTTCAATTCGAAGTAGACAAAGGAGAACAGCTCCTTGATGAAATTGTCGCAGTAAGGAGTCTTGAAATAGCACACCATGGTGGCAAGCCAACCTTTGTCAGAGGAAGCCAAACACCTTATATCGATATTACTTTCCATATTGGGAACCTGATAGGTAAAATGAAAAACTGGAAGGTACTCGATGATGAAAACCTGAGCGACAATAAGTTAATTATGTTTGAAATACCAACTATCAAAGGTAAAAGATCACTGATGCATAAGACGGTTGCAGCCACAAACCTCAACGACGATTAAGTTGTTTGACAATTTAAATCTGCCCTGTCTTTTTTGCTAGCATCACAATTGTGTTCTCAGAATCCTGATGAAGGCTCCATAGAGGATGCCGAAAGCTTGATTTTATCGTCAAAAGAGTCAACTTAAGCCTAAAAAATTGCCAATTTCCCAATTAACAATGGATCAAGTGGCTTCACGATGTAATGCTTTCATGTTTTTTAAAAAAATTTTAATCTTTTTTTAACTTGTTCTTGTCATATTTTATATAATTTTGACCATTGTACCATCTATCTAGCTTTCACCATGTTACTGGACGTTTCCCTCATCCTATACGTAAACAACAATTAGCAACATCCTCACATACTACTCTCCTGATGATGATGGCAAAGTCCATTGAAAGCTAGAGAGAATTAAAAAAGTATAAAGAGTCCTCTTTGCTTAAATTTTGTCGAAGTACCCAACAAAAGGCGGAAGCTTTAATTTTTCACCTATATACAGGGTTATCCAAATTAAGTGTCCACCATTAGTAACTTTGTTATTAGTGAAAATACAAAGTTGTTTGAATTAGCAAACTAGTAGCATTTTTAACGCTGGTAAAAATGAGAAATAAAAAAAAAACAATTGAGAGTCGTTATTTTGATTTTTTTCAGTAAAATAACATTTTTTTAAATGGAAACCCCTGTATATTATATTTTTTTCTGTTAAAGCATCAAATTTTAAACAAAAAAGCTCACAATAACTTTTCTCCTAGGTTACAAATTGTTGAAGTTATGGCCTCCAATCTGAAACAATTAAATTGTATCGACAAACTTTATTTTCAACATCAACTTATAATCTTACAAAATACAATAACAATTTTTTTTAAAGAAGATGCTCGAAAACACCACCTTGTTCTTCAGTACATTTTTGGGCACGTTTTTCAACTGCTCGAACTGTCTTAAGTATGGTCCTACCATCTATCTGGGTTATCTTTTCCCTAACTGCAGTCTTTAACGCGTCAAGGTTATCGTACCTTCGCTTGTAAATTTGGTTCTTTAAGTAACCCCACAAGAAGTAATCAAGTGGGTTTAGATCTGGTGATCTGGGAGGCCACTGTATTGGGCCATTTGTTCCTATCCACTGATCATTAAAAGTAGTACTTAGAAAATGATAAGTACCTCTGGAGTTGTGGGCAGGTGCGCCATCTTGCTGAAAATGCAGATGATGTCTACTTATAAGATCCAATTCGTCTAAGAAATTAGTCCGAATTTCTGACATAAATTCCACATATCTTTCACCAGTTAGGGTTCCCTCATAAAAGAACGGGCCAACAATTTTTGAACCAATTATACCGCACCAAACGTTGAAACTGAAACGGACTTGTGGGCCTCTTGGATGTACTAACAAAAGATTTTCTCTTGACCAATAATGGTGGTTTTTTCTATTAAACATTCCAGAATTTGAAAAATTTGATTCATCTGTCCATAAAAGGTAACGAAAGTTATTTACATTTTGGCGACAGAAGCTAAGATACCAATGGCAAAAAACAAGTCTTCTCTCTGGATCCCCTGCCAAAAGCGTTTGAACTGGTCGGTACTTATACGGAATAAATTTGTATTTTTTTAAAATCCTTTGAACAGTACCATAACTGAAATTAGAGTCCTTGAGAATATCTGCTATTGAATTCTCACGATAAGCTTCAAAATATCCAATAACTGCAATTTCCGTGGCCTCGCTTATTATGAATTCTTTTTTTGCCCTTGTTTTAGCAAAAACATTTTCGTTGCCCCTAAATTTTCGATAAAGTCTCAGAAAATATCGTTCATACGGTTGAATGCGAGCGGGATATAATCATAAGATCAAACGAACTTACCTGTGATGTTCGATCTTGATTATATAAAGGCCCCGTCGAAGAAAAATAGTAATACGTAGTATCTCCATCTCTAGCGAATCGGTCATACATTTCAAAGCAAACATAACCCCTCCCGCCGCTCCCCGCTGCCGTCATCGTACTCAGTCCATTTTAAAGCTGATGAATTGTTGCAATTATATTTTTGGGGAATGGGATGGGTTGGGACCCTATTTTTCTTCGACGGGGCCTTTATATAATCAAGATCGAACATCACAGGTAAGTTCGTTTGATCTTATGATTATATTCGGCCCCGTCTCGAAAAATAGTAATACGTAGATATTTAGAGTTTATTGCAACAATTAGAGACTGCATACATTGCGAATTTTCTATTCCAAACAGAAAATGAACTACCTATATAATATTACATATTACCTATGGTAGGTATGTCATTTATGTTCACAATGTCATATTACATAAGTAATATAAGTAACAATAATAATAGTAATAGTAATAATGGTGTTAGTTAATAGTAAGTAAGTAATATATGTAATTATAACCCTGTAAGTAACATCATCTTTCAGAAAAAAATTTAATAACTAACATGTAAGTACAGCTTCTGCAAATCTTTGATCTGACAATAGTGGCCTATTATATACTTGAGCAAACATCCTAGAGTCTCTAGACCAACCCGCGGAAAGACGAATTGTGTCCATATTTAGCCCTTTTCTTTTTGCAGCAGACGTCGCCGCATGCCTGGTACTGTGCGCCGAAAATTTGTGTACGTCAATGCCACTTTTTTCTAAAATAATCTTAATCCAGCGACTTAAGGTCTGCGTAGATGCTTTACGGTAAGGCATTTTGCTGGTTAGAATTAAACTTGTTTCAGAACCCCTTAGATTTTCTGTTTTTTCTAGATAGGTAAGGATTACCCTAGCCACACAAACTTCCGGATCCGAGTTTAAAAAAGGAAGGTGGAAAAATGGCTGGGATCGATCTTTACCAGAGGTCTTAATTCTTTGGGGCACCGCTATATTTATTTCGATCTCTGATTTATAAATGTGCGTGATTTCTATAAGGGCTAAAGTTTGAAGACGTTGACCTGTGGCCAATGCTAAAAGGGTTACAAGTTTTTGGTTCAATTTCCTCAAAGTAATATCTTTGTTTTTCCATTCCCTTAGAAAATTTAAAACTACTGCTGGATCCCAAGTATTTTGATATTTCGGTAAACTTGGTCTAAGCATATAGACTCCTTTGAAAAATTTCTGAATCCTGTAATCCTGTGCCAAGTCTCGCCCCGCTACTTGAGCTATAGCAGACCGATAAGTATTTAAAGAACTATAAGATGCTCCTTTCTTAAAATGATAGGTTAGAAACTCTAAGACGGTTACTACTGAAACCGAATAGGGATCTGCTTTCTTGGTAGAGCAATACTCCCACCATAGTTTTAAACCCGAACTATATTGCTTTAAGGTAGACTCTGAGATTGAGGCCATGCAAATCTCCAAGGAGTCGGTTGGCACTTTGCCTAGCTTAAGCGCTTCCCGGATAATCGACCTGCCATCAGGGAAATGTGTTCCGATAGCGGATGTGGAATTCTGCCAAAAGATAATAAGTCTGGTTTAGGTTCAAGAATCATAGGTTCAGATATTAACAGAGACGTAAAAACTGGATACCACGGTTGTGCTGGCCAATTGGGCACAACCATGATCCCTTCTGCTTGGTCATTAATTATTTTCTGTAGGGTACTTAAAATTACTGAAAATAGGGGAAAAGCGTAAAAAATAAATTTTCCCCAGTGTATGGTAAAAGCATTTATTGCCATAGCATCAGGATCCCTAAGCCATGAAACATATTTCCTACATTTATTATTTATCCGACTGGCAAAAAGATCAATTTCTGGGTTACCTAGCACTGCGGTCAATTTATTATAAGCCGAGTTATGAAGTGACCATTCCGTGTCGATTTTCAACTCACGTGAAACCCTATCAGCTTCCACATTATCTGATGACCTAATATATGAAGCCATCAAATAAATATTCTTACGTTCGCACCATTGCCAAATTTTGCGGGTAAGATCATTTAATTTTGGATATTGCACACTTCCCATGCGATTTATATACGACATAGCCGTAGTGTTGTCTACCCTGCATAAAATTGAACAATTAGATAGATCTTTAGCAAAACACTTTAACCCAATGAAAACCGACAGTAATTCTAAATAATTTATATGATGATTATTTTTCTCTTCTTCAGACCAAAAACCGTGTGAAATAATATTATCGCAGTAAATACCCCAGCCAGTATTAGACGCATCTGAAAAAATTACCTTTTCAAATTTGTCCTTTCTAATAAAATTTGCAGTATTAAGTTCTAATTTATTTATCCACCAGTCAATTTCACTAACAATTCTATTAGAAATTTTCATTACAGCATTATAAGACCCATTATGTTGTCTAAGAGCTAAATATTTTTCTCGCTCCATTGATTTCGTGTATAAATACCCATACCTTATGGCTGGACATACAGATATTAATCTCCCTATTATTTTAGAGAAATCCCTAATCTTGCACTGTTTCCAGTTCTTAAAGTGTTTCAATATTTCGATCAGTTTCTGACGCTTTTCTATTGGTATTGAAACAGTCATATATAAGGAGTTATACTGAAAACCTAAATAAACACAAGTCTTTGAAGGGACTAAGACACTCTTCTTATGATTAATAATGAATCCTAAATGACATTTAGCAAACAATCATCATAGGTCCTACCAATTAATAAAAAATCATCCAAGTATACCACTGACGTAAATCCTTTTATCCTGAGATAATACACAATAGGCTTCATTAACTTTGTAAATAACATTGGGGCAAAATTTATACCAAAGCAAAGGCAGTTGTATTGATAAAGTTGTCCCCTAAAATAGAACCTTAAATATTTTCTATCCTTATTGCTCACAGGAACTAGGTAATATGCATCCTTTAGATCTAATTTAGACATGAAACAATTCTGGGTAAGCAACTTGAAAACCGTTTTATGGTCTTCTAACTTAAAATGGTTTGTTTCTAAAAAGACATTTAACTTTTTTAAATTTAATATTAGACGAAAAGTACTATCTGCCTTGGGAATTATAAAAATGGTTGATATAAATTGACCCTCACAAGGTTCCACCTGTGAAATGGCTTGCATTTGCAATAAGTTTTCAATAGAGTTCGAAATTATAACCTGTTCTTTTACAGACCATTCTTGTTCTTTTGGAACTATTGTTTGCTTAGGTAATTTAAGAAAGGGTAGCCTAACACCTTTTAACCAAGACAAAATACGTGTATCTTTGGTAAACTGTAACCAGCGAGCTGTAAAATACTTTAAGTCCTGCAATCTTATTTACCTCTAATACTTGCGGTATTTCTTCGCATTCTTGTATTGACCCAGTCGAGGATATTCCCCCTGGCGATTGTACCGAGAGTTGTACTGCTTGCTGGAACCTGGATTGCTGGGATTCTGATTGCTGGGATCTTGGCGATATCGTCCACCTAGTTTGGCTCCCCGTTGATAACTGGATCGACTTCTGTAGTTTAAAGTATTTTTTGAAATAGTTTTCTTTGGCTGTGGCGCTTTAACTATTTTCAATTGCTTGGATGAAAACTGTAGACTCTTTGCAGCTTTTAATCTTTCTTCCAAATCCTCCCCGAAGAGCCATTTATCAACAGGAGAATCAATTAGAGTCTCTTTCCATTCCTTATTCAAGTTTAGTATGGCAAGCTTCTTTCTAGATACACTGAGTGTATGGTGGACATCCGACAAAAGGCGTCCCGCATCGCTTAATTTTTCTATTAGTTCTGTATTTCCTCCCTCTGTTTTCAATAAGTCTGAAATAACAGTTGCAATTGCAGATAAGCCAGATCCTACTTGAGCCTGCTGACAACTGAGACGAGAATCTCTTTTTGCTACCGAATCCACAATAGCTTGTTTAACCACCGCATTTAGCTTTGGGGCTCCAAAACTATGGGCATTCTCCGGAGGAGGGTACTTTTTCATAATATCACGCCTCTTTTCATCTTCCAATCCTTTCTAAATTACCGTTTTCCATCTGTCGGCTACATCCTGTTGGATAGAGGGGCCCTTAGTTTCTGGCAATTCCACTTCGTCCCCCAAGGCTAACAATATGTCACCATTAAGTTCGCCAACATTATTTCCCTCATTTGTTACATATTGATCAATGGTGTTCTCCGGAATGCTGAAGTTGCATTAATATTGGAATATAATGTGGCAAAAATTCCAAAAAAGTATGTATACACATATATACACATATATACACATATATACATATATACATATACACATATAGATATATACACATATATACACATACATTCAAATGTATTAAAAATGACACATAGTTATAATCCAACAAAATGTTTAAATCAGGCCTACTATTCATCTGCTGTCATAAACAGAAAACTTGACATCATAATCAGTTTAGCTCAGGTATACGTTTGTTATCATAAACAAAACAAACTGATGCCATAACCAGTTTTTCTACGTTTGTTATCATAAACAAAACAAACTGATGCCATAATCAGTCTTGACCAAAGCGTATGTAGAACAATCAAACTAATACCCCACTTAAGTATGGACCAGTGGTATCATAACCACTGAAATTATACACCATGAAGGAATTAAGATAATCACCTTCTTTTTCTCCTATATCTGATCCACCGTCAGCTTCCGATCCTGAATAGGAACGCCTATCATACGAGTGGCTATCGGATCCGTCCTCGGAATTAGAGGTTCCCGATGAACTGCCATGATGCCATTGCCTTGGTCTTTTCTCTTCCATCTTATCCAATCGCTTCTCCAATCTCTTGACAATTTTCAAAAACTTTTCCCCTACAGTGGAAGGAGAAGAGCTACGACTCCTCTTTCTAGACCGCTTCGGCATAGTTTGAACACTTGAAAACACAATTATCGAAAAATTCACCACTAAACGGTACGACGGCGACGAGTTGATTTCTGCGCGGCAGTTCGCCCGTAACCTTTCGCATACAAATGAAGACTGAGTACGATGACGGCAGCGGGGAGCGGCGGGAGGGGTTATGTTTGCTTTGAAATGTATGACCGATTCGCTAGAGATGGAGATACTACGTATTACTATTTTTCGAGACGGGGCCGAATATAATTCACTGTAGTATTCTCTTGCTCTCAAGGAGGATTTTCTGCACACTAAATAGCATTCTAACATATCACACTTTTCTTCATGGGAGAACATTTTTCTTTAAATTAATGACACAATAAAGCTTATAAACAAGTATTTACACTAATGTTTGACATTATTTGATTTTATCATTGTTTTCCAAAGCCTTCTAGTTGCGAGTATGTCCAGTTTAACAATTTGTCGCTTATCTTAATGCTGTCAAATCGCGAACGCCATGTTGTTTTCATAGCCGCCTTAATATTATAATACTGCAAATAATTAAAAATATTTATCGTTATTTTGACTTTATTTTTGACTTTAGCGGAAAAGTCATTATGAACTTTTTTGTTTAAAATTTGATGCTTTAACAGAAAAAAATATAATATACAGGGGTTTCCATTTAAAAAAATGTTATTTTACTGAAAAAAATCAAAATAACGACTCTCAATTGTTTTTTTTTATTTCTCATTTTTACCAGCGTTAAAAATGCTACTAGTTTGCTAATTCAAACAACTTTGTATTTTCACTAATAACAAAGTTACTAATGGTGGACACTTAATTTGGATAACCCTGTATATATATATATAGGTATAATATATATATATATATATATATATATATATATATATATATTATACTCATCATGAAGGCTAAAGATAATTTGAACTCTTTTTGTGATAAAGTGCTATATTTCATTTCATTAATGGTTAAAACTATATGCAAAATTTCGTGAACGAACATAGGCATTTTAGACAAAGTCTTCTCAAAGTAATTTATTTTTCATTGTTGCTTAAATATTCGAATCTGCATAATAACAATAATGATAATAATAGTAATAATAATAATAATAATAATCATAATCATAGTAGTAATCGAAATAGTAATCGTAATTTATTGTAATCGTAATTATATTTACTCTGTGTAAAGGAACAGCCACTCCATTTTCAGCCTCATTCTGCATGAATCTCAATACCGAGGCAACAATTACTCGGCTTTGACCATTTAAAACTTTATTAGCAACTTTAATCTCCAAAAGTAGCGCAGTTTTTGTGTTTAAAATACTCTACCGTTGAGCCTAAATTAGTTTCCAAAACAAAATTAAACGACTCCCATGTCGTGTCGCTTGCAGTAATCTGTCAGTGATGCATATTTTTTGTTTCTTTGACCTTTTTCGTGTTACTATGATGAATCATCGAAAAAAAAATAATGGTAAACCACGAGAAAACAGCACGGCTACATTCAAAGATGGAAATCAAAGCAGAAGACAGTAGACAACACAGCCCGAGCTGCTTCAAGTTCTGTATGTTTCTACAATGAGTGAAAAACTAGTTCAAAATGCGCACCAAAAAAAAACATGAATATATAAATTGGTTCTGTTATAAGAATTTGGAATATGCACCAGTCCAACACTGGTTTCACTGAAAAAAAAAAACGTGATTGAATAGCTTGGTAATATTTAACTGGTTAGACCATACAAAGCTGATTTCAGTAGCTTCTATTTTGGCCAGTTTCTCAGTTATAATCTCATCTCACTTCAAGTTGCCTCACATGTCAGAGATTTTCTCTTTCCCCCGCGCCCCTGGAGTCTGTGGTTCTCGATAGATTTTTGACTCGTTGATTATGTTTACATATGTATTTACTGGGGATTGTCAAATCTTTCAAAGGTTTTTTAGACCTTTGGATATTCTAGAAATTCATCGACATCAATAAAACATTTTCATACAACACTTAAACCTGATTTCGACACATGTTTCATGCGTGTGAGATGGAATTCTTATTTGACTGTTGCTTAGTTTCTTTTGGTACCAAATCATCAGTTGCTGCCGTGATATTCATCCCGACCACCGCATCCCCACAGCTAGGCGACTTGTATGTTGATTTAGTGTTGATAGGGCAGCGGATTATGCTATAAATCATATGTCACAGATTTTGTGCAACTGATATCAGTTTAGCTCGAACTAACTTAAGTACTATGTTTGTGTTCCTACTTTAAATTCAAAGCCAGCAAATGTAAAAGATTCATTTCGCACCCTTCACTACGGGACGTTATGGTCGTTAGACTTGGCAGCCCTGCGAATGACAGATAGATATCCCCGCCAGTCAAAAAGGCAATCAAACAAGAAACATTATAATTTTTTTGATTTTTTGAGTTAGAAGACGTTATTAGTGAGAAATTTTTAATAATGTTTTGTCTTTGTCCATAGTAATTGCAATATGCATCACAGAGATGTAGGGATTGACACGTCTTACACATACCTGTATTATCTGTGTTTTAGGATGGAGTGGACATAATGTTTTTATTGCTTTGAAGAAATTTATTAACCCATAAATTAGTAAATGATTACGATTATGATGTAAGGGAAGATGGAGAATTGGCTGGAATGTATGTTATATTCTATTTTGTTGCAAAATACACACAAATCCGTACTATTCAACAGGTATTAGGTATAATGATAACATATAAACACTCAGTATATTGAAATTAAAAAGTTCGAGATTGCCATTATTAACAAACGCTCAAACCTGCTATTAAATTTAACAGCTAGAAAATCGACCTATTATTTATAAGGGAATTCAAAATACATGACAGTTGTCCTATTTTCTCTGTACAAAAGCATCATGTTGGAATTAAAAAGTGCTCTTGTTTGTAATACAATCGCTTTTTCGCGATTTTATTCAATATTTCAATAGAAATCACTGTTATTCATAGAGCTTTGGCAGCTTCCGTCACATTGCATTCCAATAAGGTCTTTTCCTGTTGGTCCAAACTGATTAACGATGGTGAAATCGGCCCTAAAACTAATATTACAAGGCTAGAAATTCGCTACCTTCCATGGCCTGCAATCTGCTCAATTTAACGGTTCACCTATGACCAATTACTGGTGATTGAATAAACGCGGGCGACCCTCCGAGCATGCGTTCATCAACTGGGAACTTTTCACCCAATCAGTTATTTTTTCGTTGTGCTTGCTCTGGCGGAATCACGCTGCTAACAAGTCCGGCTTGTTTCTGTTTACTGGACGGTCGTCTGCATAATTGATTAATTGAAACGAACCGCCAAAAATAGGAACACCGCAACAATGTGTATATAGTGGTCGGTGGATCAAACTGGCTGAAGCGATTAGAACAAAAAATCTCATCAGTTTGTGATTTTTCCGTCAGATAGATGATCCTGCGCTATTCACAGGTTAATATACAAGAGGAAAGCGAAATAATTGATTAGTAGGCTGTATAACAGGTGCTTGTATGTAAAGCCTTCTCACCACAATTTAGGGTTGTCACACAGGAAATTTTTTTCCCGGTGGAAGGAGATCCAAGGAGTTTCGGGGAGTTCAATGAAAACTAAAGCTATTCATGGTGATTGTATTTCTCAATTGAGCTAGATATTAAGCCATCGAAGATAATTTCCTACTTCACTGATAACTAGAGCTGGGTTGGTTCTGAACGAGTCGTTCCAAATTAACGGTACCGTAAAGAGTATTGAAGGAATCAATTCCGATTCCGACGGTTTCGATTCATACATACAATACGGGAGTATTAAGTAAAGAACCTGAAAAACGCGCAAAAAACGACAAAATTCCAACTTGCAGACTAGGTAGTTTTTAGTGGAATTCATTCCACGTTTGCTCGCTATAATCGCTGTGAGCGTCCATCTATGGAGAAATGACTCAACGACACGACACGCGCAAGCATGCATTGTTGTTTCCAGAAAGCCGAGTGTATATGTTTCGTGAAGCCGAGTAGTCTGTAGTGTTTATCTCTGAGGAGATGTGGAAGAAAGAAAAGGTTGAGTAACCACACCGCATCTGGATTATTATGTGTATTGGCCTGCATGTGTGTAAAATCAGTGATATTTGCTATCTGAGAAAATTATTACTGAATATGCTGCCAATGAAGTATAGCTATTAGCTGTGCCCGACGGGTTATTTATATGTTGACCTTTCTGAAGACAGGTTATGTCCAAAGTTATAAATTACGACTTCTCCCGTTTTCTTTTCTTGTTTTCAAAAACTTTGAGAAGCATTACGGGAAATCAACACCGCGTCCGCGTTGTGTGAAGTTAAGCCAAAGCACAGAAAAATTAGTAATGACGCATCACACATCAAACATTTTCGCAGTGCCTCACATCTAGGCGCTGATTGTATTTTCTGTTGACATCGCAAAATAAATTTCTATAGAATTTAAATGACTTGAAATAAAAAATAATGACTGCAGCACATTTTCTCAGCTGTTCATCAACCAGGAATTTCGTTTCTTTATCTGTCTCACTTTTGAAATTCAGTAAATTTGTATATGTAATTTCCAGAATGAATAAAAAAAAGTGGATGCGCAACAAATTTATAGCTTTGAATACATCTCAAGTAAGTTTATCTTGGAGGCAAGAAACCAATGGAATTGTCGTCACCACATTATATTAGCACACAAATCCTCACTATACACCTATGCACTGCCGTTTCGTTCCAGCTATAGTATACATGTTAGAGCTTAGACTTCCAATAATGCCATCTCTGAAGCAGATATTACATCACATCAGAGCCAAACATTGATAACTGCATCATGAGGTTTAGGCATAACGTGCAGCTACAAAACGAGTTCACAACTAATGTACAACAGCCAGTGCTAAGTTAACATCTTGTAGAAGGACCTACGTTATTTAACAAAAAAAATCTACAAATGTCATAGAAAAAATAGAAAAAACGTCACTTTTTTAGATACGTAATACCCGTGCGAGTTGTATTTGAACGAAATTTTTGCAAAAGAACTGTTTTTGAGACAGAAGTAGCCGCGTAGACAGAAGCTTAAGCGAAAGGGCGCCGGGATTGATAGGAGGAGCTTAAAGAAACCTTGTTACTAGAATTTCTGAACCGCCCAAGATTAGTATAACTGGGAAAAGCCTCTTCAAATAGAATGTTTCA